TATTCAACATTGTGCTGGAGGTCCTAGCTAGAGTAATAAGGCAAGTAAAAGAAACAAAGGGCATCTTAATTGGTAAGGAAGAGGTAAAATTATCCCCATTTGCAGATGATATGATCTTATACACAGAAAACCCCAAAGAATTCACAAGAAAGTTACTGGAACTAATAGAAGATTTCAGCAAGGTAGCAGGATACAAGATAACATACAAAAATCAGTAGAATTCCTTGACACTAACAAAGAGAACATCAAAAAGGAAATCACCAAATCAATACCATTTACAATAGCCCCCAAGAAGACAAAGTACCTAGGAATAAAACTAACCAGGGACATAAAGGGACTATACAAAGAAAACTAAAAAACACTACTGCAGGAAACCAAAAGAGACTAACATAAGTGAAAAAACATACCATGCCCATGGACAGGAAGACTCAACATTGTGAAAATGTCAGTTCTACCCAAAGTAACATACAGAGACAATGCAATCCCAATCCAAATTCCAACAGCATTTTTTTAACAAGATGGAGAAACAAATCACCAACTTCATATGGAAAGGGAAGAGGCCCTGGATAAGTAAAGCATTACTGAAGAAGAACAACAAAGTGAGAGGCCTCACACTACCAGATTTTAGAACCTATTATACAGCCACAGTAGTCAGAACAGCCTGGTACTGGTATAACAACAGACGCATAGACTCATGGAACAGAATTGAGAACCCAGACATAAATCCATCCATCTATGAGCAGCTGGTATTTGATAAAGGCCCCAAATCCATTAAATGGGGGAAAAGACAGTCTCTTTTTTTTCTTTCTTTTTTTTTAAATTGTGCTTTAGGTGAAAGTTTATAGCTCAAGTTAGTTTCTTATACAAAATTTTGTACACATATTGTTTTGTGACATTAGTTGTAATCCTAACAATGTGACAGCACACAAGGCAGTCTCTTTACCAAATGGTGCTGGGATAACCGGATGTCCATCTGTAAAAAAATGAAATAGGACCCATACCTCACACCATACACAAAAACTAACTCAAAATGGATCAAAGACCTAAATGTAAAATCTAAAATGATAAAGATCATGGAAGAAAAAATAGGGACAATGCTAGGGGCCCTAATATGTGGCATAAAGAGTATACAAACCATAAGTAACAATGCACAAACACCAGAAGAGAAACTAGATAACTGGGAGCTCCTAAAAATCAAACACTTATGCTCACCAAAAGAGTAAAAAGAAAACCTACAGACTGGGAAAAAAAATTAGGCTATGAAAATCCGATCAGAGTCTAATCTCTAAAATCTACAAGATATTGCAACACCTCAACAACAAATAGATGAATAATCCAATTAAAAACTGGGCAAAGGATATGGGCAGACACTTCACCAGAGAAGACATTCCAGCAGCTTACAGACATATGAGGAAATCAAGATCATTAGCCATTAAAAGAAAAAAACAAAACCCATTGCCATCGAGTCGATTCCAACTCATAGCAGCGCTATAGGACACAGTAGCACTGCCCCATAGGGTTTCTGAGGAATGCCTGGTGGATTTGAACTGCTGACCTTTTGGTTAGCAGCCGAGCTCTTAACCACCATGGATGAATCTGGAGGGCATTATGCTGAGTTAAATAAGTCAGTCACAAAAGGATAAATATTGTATGAGACTGCTATTATAAGAACTCAAGGAAAGGCTTACACACAGAGGAGGGAGGAGGAGAGGAAATCACTAACTAGATTAGTAGACAAGTGTCAACTTCAGTGACGGGAAGGACAACACACAATACAGGGGGAGTCACCACAACTGGACCAAAGCAAAAGCATAGAAGTTTCCCAGATACATTCAAAAACTTTAAGGGACAGAGTAGCTGGGGCTGGGACCTGGGGACCATAGTCTTGGGGGACATCTAGGTCAATTGGTGTAATAAAGTTTATAAAGAAAATGTTCTACATCCCACTTTGGTGAATAGTGTCTGGGGTCTTACAAGCCTGAGAACGGCCAGCTAAGATACATCTATTGGTCTCATCCCACCAGGAGCAAAGGAGAATGAAGAAAACAAAAGACACAAGAAAAATACTAGCCCAAAAAACTAAAGGACCACATGAACCAGAGACTCCACCAGCCTGAGACCAGAAGAACTAGATGGTGCCCGGCTACCACCAATGACCGCCCTACAGGGATCACAACACAGAGTCCTGGATGGAGCAGGAAAAAAATGTAGAATAGAATTCAAATTCACGTAAAAAGACAGACTTACTGGTCTGACTATGACTGGAGGAACCCTCGAAACTATGTCCCCCTAACAGTCTGCTAACCAGAACTGAAATCATTTCCAAAGACCACTTTTTAGACAAAGAATAGATAGGCCTACAAAACAAAAAATAACACACGTGAGGAACGTGCTTCTTAGTTCAATCAAATATAGGAGACCAAATGTGGAGCTCCTGTCCAAAAGCAGGACAAGAAGGCAGGAAGGGACAGGAACTGGGTGAATGGACACAGGGAGCCGAGGGTGCAAAGGGGGAGCATGCTGTTACATTGTGGGGATGGCAATCAATGTCACAAAACATTATGTGTATAAATTTTTGAATAAGAAATTAACTTGAGCTGTAAACTTTCACTTAAAGCACAATACAAAGAAAAAAAACAAAACAAAAAAACACCCTATGGAGCACAGTTCTCCTCTGTCACATATGAGGTCACCGTGAGTTGGAATCCACGGTGACTGGTAGTAATGTTAAATATGCACATACTCTGTGACCAAATAATCCCACTTCTGGGTATAACCTAAAGAAACCCTCACCCTGTGCACAAAATGACATTTACAAGGAAGTTCACTACAGCTCTGTTTGTAATAGTAACAAACTAGAAACAATTCAAATGTTTGTCAACAGCAAAACGGATACAATTATGTATACTCATACAATGAAATACTATAAACAGGTAAAAGAATGTATTTGATCTATATTTAGGTTATATGAGTGAATTTTGAAAATATAATGTTTAATTTTTAAAATTGACCCACAATATGATCCCCTTTATGCTGAATAGTAAAACATACAAAAGAACACTCTAAATTGTTTATGGACATACATATATTACCAAAGTATAAACACATGGACAAAATGGAAACACATTCTTCTAATTGTGATTCCCTCTGGGGAGTAGAGGAGGACAAATAAGATGAAGGGGTGGGTTTCAACTGTATCTATAATGTTTTATTTCTTTAAAAAATATGATGGCCAAATTTTAGTATCTGTTCTATCTGGGTTGTGGGCACATGAGATTTTTTTTTATATAAGTCCCTATGCCTCATCTCAAGGAGCCCTGGTAGCGAAGTGGTTAAAGAGATTGATTGCTAACCGAAAGGTAAGCGGTTCGAAACCACCCGCTGCTCCTTGGGAGAAAGACATGGCAGTCTGCTTCCGTAGAGATTTATAGCCTTGGAAAACCTATGGATTCACTGTGAGTTGGAATCTACTCGACGGCAATGAGTTTGGGTTTTTTTGGGTTTATTCCTCATCTCTGTAGAGCAATCAGATCCTTGCTTTATTCTGGCGTTCTTTCAGATACTTAAACCCTGATGTTGAACTGGCTCAGCCCAGTGATTTTGGCCATACGACTTGTGACCAACTTGCTTACTGTGGACCTACTCCTGGACTTTCCCTCTCTGGTTCAGCCTACCTGTCATAGTATCTTATTTCTCCCCTGGACTGACTACTATCACTTCACAGATGGTCACCTGCTGTTGCCATGCCAGGCAGACACCACGCTCAGCTTCCTCTAAGCAAGGGAAGTCAGGCCTGTCCTCCGACCTGCATCTCCACCACCACCTGAGGCTGGAGATGTCCCTCATACTCTCTGCCCATTTTTATGCTATTAATTGGGGCTTCCTTGTGTCCTGAGCCATTACTGGTATTGGGTTTTTAGTTATGGAACTCATCTTTCTCATGTACATTTTTAGATTTCCTCAATATCTGACAGATCTCTTACCTAATTTCTAGTTTTGACTCTACATTTACCCACAGTTAATATTTACCATCAGTTGGAAACTTAAACTGTATGCAGTTTAGTTTTGTTTTGACCTAAATGAGCAGTTTTGATCTGAGTTTCGTATTTTGGCTACTCTATTCTTCCCTTTGTTTCTAAAGAACAAAGAAAGTACTGCACCGTGTATTTTGATATGTTTATGTTTGAAAGAGCCTAAGTTAAACTCATGAGGATAGAGCGTATATTAGGCCACCTTTCTTGCAAGGGTTGCGTGGGCAACAAATACAGACTCTACCGGGAAAGTACACTTTGGAATGAATGAAGGAGTCTCAATGATTTACAGTTGAAATCATTTCAGGAGAAACACATTTCTGAAATTATGATGAAGTCAGTGGAAAATATGATCTGATACAAATATATCTGATTTACAATTTTTCAGAAAGTGTGTAATGGACATGAAGTTGTAACAATATTTTAGAACTAAAAAGAACAGGAGGTAATAAACACTTTTGGTTGGTTAAAAATCTTCATAATGTAGCTTTCTCAGAAATTTTGAATATATTCATAGATTTAGTCATGAATGAATTGAATTACCTCTTGTCTCAATAGACGTTCTGCCTGATTTCTGGTAATGTTTTTATGGTACCACCTGTAAAAGCAATAACAAATGATTTTAAATTTTATATCCCATTTTTTCAGAAAAAAGCTTACTTCATTTCCTTCATTTTAAAGAACTTACTCCAGAAATGATTTTAGAAAATTGAGTGTTTTTCACTCAGATACACAATACTGTTTTATTATGTATCAATTATTTTATTTAATACAGTTTCATTAGTTTCAAACCAATATCAAGTTTGTTGTTTTACATCTCAGTTCAATTTTCTGACACACACTTAGTATATAATTTTGAATGATTTAATCTCCAGTAAATTTCCATGAAAGTTATGTGGTCAAGAAATCATCATCTTCAGCAAACACTTTACTCTCCTTTGGCAGATAAACCAAAAAGTACCCATTTCTCTCTTTTTTTCTTCTCAGGAACTTGCATTTGTTTGCTTTTATATGTACTATGTTATACTTTGGAGCCCTTGGGGCACAGTGGTTAAGAGTTTGGCTGCTAATCAAAAGGTCAGCAGTTGGAATCCACCAGTCACTCCTTGGAAACTTTATGGGGCAGTTCTACTCTGTCCTATAGGGTTGCTGTGAGTCAGAATTGACTCAACAGCAAGGGTTTTTTTTTATTTTTTTTATGTTATACTTTACAAAATTCAAACATACTGTAACTTATTTGACTCTCTTAAGTATATTAATTCATAGTAGAGTTAGTAGTTTAGTAGAGCAAATAGAGCGACCAATACATGATCTTGCCCCAAACATCTTCTCTTGCTTCATCTCTCACTTACTCGCTAAGCTCCACCCATCATGAGATTGTTTTCTTCCTCAAATTCACCAAACCCTTTCTTGCCTCATTCAGATCATGCTATTTCCTCTGCATGAACCATGTCATTAAATGACTTTAGAATATCAGAACTACACATAGCAAACCTAATTAAATAATATTATAATTTGAACATATAGCTTGATACGACAATACCTAGTCAGTAAGCTGTGAGTCAGAATTGACTAGACGGCAACAGGTACAGGGTACAGGTACAGTCAGTAAGCAAATGCTGTGTGAGATAGAGAAAAGAAAAGTGATAGAGTCAAAGAAAAGTAAAGAAAAATTGGAAAACTTTCATTTCAAAACCATATATAAAAGGAGTTAACCTACTATTACCAGAAATATTATTTTTGTGGACAGTGGAAGGAAGAATGCATATGTAGCCATGTATTGACTCACAGTGAGTGGGCCAGATGGTAGCTGAATGAAACTCTTAAACCTGACTTTGAGGGTGGAACTGCTTGCAGTGTTCCACCCATCTCATCATTTGGACTTCCCTTAACCTATAGTAGCGGAAAGTTGCCACTAAACTAGAATGGACAGCTATTCCTATAAATTGAAAACAAACCTTAAAATAGATGAACCACAGAGAATAGGGAATGTTTAAGTAGATGAAATTTCATGATTCTAGACAAAGTAATTTGACTGCTTATCACTAGTGGGAACAAGAGAAACTGTAATGTTAATCTGTGAGCATCATTTAGTACTTTCATGTGAGTATTCACATTGAGGGAGGGAATTTCAAGATGTCTGAGACCTCTTCTAGAAAAAAAAATTCTTTCCCTATAAGTGAGATATTGTTAAAGATGTAGAGAACCAGCTTAAAGGGGCTTCCACAGACTAAGTTGTAAAAATTTTGATATTAAAAGGAGAAAAATTATTATAGCTCACTGAAATAAATCGCACCTGAAAAGCTAAGAGTACACAATGATACTCAAAAAGGAAGAGTTAACATACATTGTAATTTTTTTTTTAATATTGTTTTTTGCCTGTTAGTATGTTGGTGTTAATTTTGTTGCTTTCTTTTCTTTTTTTTTTTTTTCCAGTTGCAGAGAAGTTGGCCCAGACTCATGGTAACCTCAAGTGTGTCAGAGTAGAACTGTGCTCCATAGAGTTTTCAGAGGCTGATTTTCTGGAAGTAGCTTGCCAGAACTTTCCTCTGAGTCTCCCCTTTTAGTTAGCAGATGAGCACATTAACCATTTGCACTACCCAGGGACTCCTCATTTATTATATGTAAGTAAATATGTTACTTTTATTAAAATATAAATTAAAAATCCATTTATGGGTAGATATCATTAGAATGACTTCAAATTAGTAACCAATGAGCCAGATGTAACAATGTAACAAATTCAGGATCCAGTGGGATGACCTTTAAAATAATGCAGAATTCCATCAGGTAGGAAAGAGACTGGATGAATGAAATTTAGGGGAGGTTGGGGACATGATATTTTAGAATTTCATCTGTTTAAATTAGATGATAAAAGTTAGAAGAGTTTAAAAATAGGTAAGGCTGTAATTTTTATACTTGTTGTTGTTGTTGGATGCCATTAAGTCAATTCTGACTTACAGCACCCTCCATTTTCATACCTAAACAAAATTAATACCACATGAAGGATGTGGCACATAGGAATTGGAGGAGGGAGACTCATATATATAATATCCAGCTGTGGTTAAGTTGAATATCTTGTATATATGTAAGCCTTGGGTCCCATGTTTCAATCTCTGATTTCTTATCAATAAGTAACAGTATAGTGGTCTTGAATTTTTGACCTAGAAACCCCATTAGATCTGAGAAGGTAAATCTGCTTCCCTTACTGACTTTCTAATCCCTGAGAAAAGTAAGGACTCAGTGTAGAGATAATGAGATAAATCAAACTCATACTTCTGTAACATTCAGGATAACTGATGTGGTTGGTATTTAAAATATCTATAATTCTAAGAGAATCTGGCACATTTGATTTTTACTTCTGACTTGAAATGCATAATTGATATTAAACTGATTTGAAATTGAAAAGAATTTGACTCATTTTTAAAATGAAATTGGAACATCTAAGAGAGCTCAACTTACCACATATATATTTAATTACATAGATTTCTAGGGTTACTTAGGTACTTAGGAAAGGCTTGTGACAATTGTAAATTTGCCCTGTCAGTTATTTGAAGTACTTAAAAAGGAAATTGAATTTATTCAGCTTATTAATGCAAGTTAAATGGTTTAGGAAATTTAATTAACTGAGCTTATAAATTAGAACTGATTTTTAAGGACATTTAGTATGCTGAGTTTGAATTAAGGTGATTGTTATTTTAATAGGTGTGTAAGTACTATATCAAGATTTACAAGTTGAACTGAAGGCTTAATGAACTGGAAACCAGGTTTTTACATTTTGATGTTGACAATTTAGATATTAATTTAAAACCTAAGTGGCCATAAATATTTGTATATACAAAGGGTGCCCTGAGACACCAGAAGCCCACACTGACACAGCATTCCTTCCTCTACTTCCCCCCAGTTCCCTCCTACCATGTTCAGGCCTCAAGTCACTCCCTCAGAAAGGTCTTCTTCATCAACCCACCATCCCTCATCTAAATCACCTCCCCTTCCCCATGAGTCAGAATCAACTGTACAGCAACTGATTTTTCTCCTCCCCCTATGCACCAACTTGTTTTCTCCTGCAGTATATACTATACATTTCCTTCATGTTGCTGTTTTTAGGGGTCATCGAGTCAGTTCCGACTCACAGCGACCCCATGCACCACAGAATGAAACACTGCCTAGTCCTGCACCATGCCCACAATTGGAGTTATGCTTGAGCCCATTACCGCAGCCACTGTGTCAATCCATCTCGTGGAGGGTCTTCCTGTTTTTTGCTAACCCTGTACTTTACCAAGCATGATGTCCTTCTCCAGGGACTGATCCCTCCTGACAACATGTCCAAAGTATGTAAGACACAGTCTCGCCATCCTTCCTTCTAAGGAGCATTCTCGTTGTACTTCTTCCAAGACAAATTTGTTCGTTCTTTTGGCAGTCCATGGTATATTCAATATTCTTCACCAACACCACAATTCAAAGACGTCAATTCTTCTTCAGTCTTCCTTATTCATCGTCCAGCTTTCGCATACGTATGATGCAATTGAAAATATCATGGCTTGGGTCAGGTGCACATTAGTCTTCAAGGTGACATCTTTGCTTTTCAACACTTTAAAGAGGTCTTTTGCAGCACATTTGCCCAATACAATGTGTCTTTTGATTTCCTGACTGCTGCTTCCATGGGTGTTGATTGTGGATACAAGTAAAATGAAATCCTTGACAACTTCAATCTTTTCTCCATTTATCATGATGTTGCTTATTGGTCCAGTTGTGAGGATTTTTG